TTGCTTCCAAGTCCTGGCTATTATAAACAGTGCTGCACTGAATATTGGGGTACACGTGTATCTTTCAATTCCGGTTTCCTCAGTGTGTATGCCCAGTAGTGGGATTGCTGGGTCATATGACAGTTCTATTTCCAGTTTTTTAAGGAATCTCCACACTGTTCTCCATAGTGGCTGTACTAGTTTGCATTCCCACTAACAGTGTAAAAGTGTTCTCTTTTCTCCACACCCTCTCCAGCATTTATTGCTTGTAGACTTTTTGATAGCAACCATTCTGACTGGTGTGAGATGGTACCTCATGGTCATTTTGATTTGCATTTCTCTAATGATGAGTAATGTTGAGCATTTTTTCATGTGTTTATTAGCTATCTGTATGTCCTTTTTGGAGAAATGGCTGTTTTGTTCTTTGGCTCAGTTTTTGATTGGGTCATTTATTTTTCTGGAATTGAGCTTCATGAGCTGCTTGTATATTTTTAAGATTAATTCTTTGCCATTTACTTCCCTGGTGGCTCAGATGGTAAAACGTCTGCCTACAATGTGGAAGACCTGGGTTTAATCCCTGGATTGGGAAGACACTCTGGAGAAGGAAATGGCAACCCGCTCCAGTACTCTTGCCTGGAGAATTCCACGGAGGGAGGAACGTGGTGGGCTACAGTCCACCAGGTCGCAAAGAGTCAGACACGACTGAGCGACTTCACTACTACTTTGTCAGTTGCTTCACTTGCTGTTATTTTCTCCCATTCTGAAGTCTGTCTTTTCACCTTGCTTATAGTTTCCTTAGTTGCACAAAAGTTTTTAAATTTAATTAGGTCCCATTTGTTTATTTTTGCTTTTGTTTCCATTACTCTGGGAGGTGGGTCAAAGAGTATCTTGCTGTGATTTATGTCAGAGAGTGTTTTGCCTATGTTTTCCTCGAGGAGTTTTCTAGTTTCTGGTCTTACACTTAGATTTTTAATCCATTTTGAGTTTATTTTTCTGTATGGTGTTAGAAAGTGTTCTAGTTTCATTCTTTTACAAGTGATTGACCACTTTTCCCAGCACCATTTGTTAAAGAGATTGTCTTTTCTCCATTGTATATTCTTGCCTCCTTTGTCAAAGATAAGATGTCCATAGGTGTGTGGATTTATCTCTGGGCTTTCTATTTTGTTCCATTGATCTATATTTCTGTCTTTGTGCCAGTACCATACTGTCTTGATGACTGTGGCTTTGTAGTAGAGCCTGAAGTCAGGCAGGTTGATTCCTCCAGTTCCATTCTTCTTTCTCAATATTACTTTGGCTATTCGAGGTTTTTTTGTATTTCCATACAAATTGTGAAATTATTTGTTCTAGTTTTGTGAAAAATACCCATAGACCTAGCCTTCCAGGCAAGAATACTGAAGTGGTTGCCATTTCCTTCTCCAGGGTTTTTCCTGACCCAGGGATGGAGCCCACATCTCCTGCATTAACCAGCGGGCCCTTTACCACTAAGTCACTGGGGCTAATCACGGAGGTTCATACATATACAAATACATTTATTGCATAAATACTTGCATATAATCAATGTAAAATATGGTCAACATGTAGCATTGTCTAACTGACTGAACTTAATTTCCAAATCTAACATACTTGTTTTGACTGTTGACTTATTTTGTTCCATGCTCTTTTGATTTGTTTTTTTAATCTATTTTGCAGTGGGGAATTTTTTTTCTTTTAGGAATTTAAGTTTTCTGTTGAATTAAGAAATAGAAAGTATAGTTATTTCTTCTGGTTTTTCCTCTTATACCTTCCAAAAATAATGTTTAAAATACAGTTAATAATTCTAAGTCTTACAAAGTCTGAATCATTTATTCATTAACCTCTTCATTCACTCAAAAATATTTATTAATATCAAATATGTGCACATTGCCTTGTCATACAATGCAAATATTAACATAAATACATAATTCTAATCACTCAGATTTTGACTAAAATCTGGTGAATTCATGTTATTGATACTTTGTATATTATTATGATGTTAAATGAGAAATATATTTCATCTACTGCCAGACATACACCATACCTACAATGCCTGCATCTTTTGCAATTATATTAAGAAAAGGATGGCTCACTGTTCTGTCTGACAGAGAGCTGAGTATTCTTTTTTTATTCTTTTTATTTATTTTTGGGTCTGCTGGGTCTTCTTTGCTGCAAGGTTTTTTTCTCTAGTTGCAATGAGCAGGGCTGCTCTCTAGACGCAGTGCTCAGGTTTCTCATTGCTGTGGCTCCTCTTGTTTTTCTTAGAGCATGGGCTTTAGTACACAGGCTCGAAAGTTGTGGCAGAGAGGCTTAGCTGCTCCGCAGCATGTGGGATCTTTCCTAATCAGTGACTGAACCCGTGTCTCCTGCATTGGCAGGTGGTTTCCCTAAAACAGCCACCAGGAAAGTCCACAGCTGAGTGTAAAGAATGTGATGCTTGAAGTTGGATTTGGTTGTGGTTGGGCACAAAACAGAATAGAACACTGCAAAATTACAAAGCTAAAAATATTGGTGAAAGTGAGTAGGAAAGCAAACAACTACAGAAGAAAGAAAGGAAGACACTGATTAGCAGAATTCTAACCATGCATTAGATGCAACATCATTTGTCTTTTCCTCTTTGAGAATTCTTTGGATCTCTTCCAAACTTTTACTTAGTTTCATTTCTACCTCTATCTGTATTGCTTTTTTCTCAAAAATGTGAAAGCCCCTGGGTGGAGGAGGGGGACCTATGAACTAGGAAGGTCAACAGTGAAGCAAAGAGGACCCTACAGGAGCACACAAAGTAGATCCTACCAAGTAATGATATCCACTCATCATCTGCAGTTTCAAATCAGTTTTCCAAAGACTCTTTAAGTGTGAATTAATAGTCAAAGATGAAAGTGAAGAGGAGAGTGAAAAAGTTGGCCTAAAGCTCAACATTCAAAAAACTAAGATCATGGCATCCAGTCCCATCACTTCATAGCAAATAGATGGGGAAACAGTGAAAACACTGGCTGACTTTATTTTTGGGGGCTCCAAAGTCACTGCGGATGGTGATTGCAGTCATGAAATTAAAAGATGCTTACACATTGGAAGGAAAGTTATGACCACCCTAGACAGAACATTAAAAAGCAGAGACATTACTTTGCCAACAAAGGTCCGTCCAGTCAAGGCTCTGTTTTTTCCAATGGTCATGTATGGATGTGACAGTTGGGCTAGAAAGAAAAATGAGCGCCAAAGAATTGATGCTTTTGAAGTGTGGTGTTGGAGAAGACTCTTGAGAGTCCCTTGGACTGCAAGGAGATCCAACCAGTCCATCCTAAAGGAGATCAGTCCTGGGTGTTCATTGGAGGGACTGATGTTGAAGCTAAAACTCCAATACTTTCGCCGCCTGATGTGAAGAACTGACTCATTTGAAAAGACTCTGATGCTGGGAAAGATTGAGGGCAGGAGGAGAAGGGGACTACAGAGGATGAGATGGTTGGATGGCATCACCGCCTCAATGGACATGGGTTTGGGCAAACTCTGGGAGTTGGTGATGGACAGAGAGGTCTGGAGTGCTGCACTTCATGGGGTCACAAAGAGTCGGACACAACTGAGCGACTGAACTGAACTGAACTGAACTGAATAGTCAAAGAATGTCTGACATTTGATAAATAGTTCCAATATTAATAATAAAAACAATGAAAACTATAAAATAAAATATTGAAATTTAGAGGTTATTAAAATAACATATATGAAGCAGAATAAGTATATTTGCATAAATAGATATCTTCTTTAGTCTACCATTTTTTATTTTGTTGTAAGTATAATTGAATATCTTCACTTCCTTTGAGATGAATATATTCACCAGCTGTGTGTATCCATACTGTTTTTCTGTAGATACTACAATTACCAACCACAGAGTTTTTCAAAATTATATATCCTGATAAGTGAAGTGAAGTCACTCAGTCGTGTCCAACTCTCTGCGACCCCATGGACTGTAGCCTACCAGGCTCCTCTATCCATGGGATTTTCCAGGCAAGAGTACTGGAGTGGGTTGCCATTTCCTTCTCTATATCTGATAATACATGCTAAATATTTAAACTATTGAAAGGAAACAAATAAATAGCAAACATTTAGGAGAAACAGATTATGCAAATCTCAGTTTTTACATTAAAATGAACAAATGACTATATTTAACAATTTTTGATAGTTACACAGTAATTTAATTGAGTAATTCATTTCAAACAATTTTTCTGAAGCTAAGTTTTAATTATCTGTTTTACTTTTTATAGTATGACTATCTGGAGTGCTCCAAAAATCAAAACTATGTCAAGTAGAGGAAAATTATTGAAAACCAGAAACAATTGGTTTTACATTATGCTGAGATATCTCAATTATTTTTCTCTCCTTTTGTTACATGATTTCATATAGATCATTAGCAATTTTGATATCAGTTTACTCACTAAAACAACTGTATAATAAATTACTTTATACATTTTAATTAAAGTGAATAACACTCATGATTATTTCATAAAATCTCATGACCTAGAAAAAAAGTTATTATCAATATCATATAATTTAATGTTACCTAAATATCTCTATACTCAAAAATCTTTACACTCATACTACATATTAAGTCTCTAATAATCCAACACTTTAGTAAAACCAACTTTAAGATGTCAGACTGTGAAATTAGAGGGCTTTCATTTTGGCCAAATTCCATAATTTCCAGGGTGAAGATAGTGGCCAAGGTTCTAATTTTCACTAATGTTTTTTTCCTCAGTCTTGAGAAGAACAAAACAGTATGAACTGCCTTATGGTATGGTTTGTGTTTTGATTAACTAAGCTAACACTTAATGTTACAAAAGTTCCTGTTTCACTAGAAATATACAATACATGTTAGTGCTGGGATGAGAATAAAAATGACCATGACTTTGTACCACCACTACCACCAAGAATATCATGAACCTGAGTAACTCCTTTTCAAACACTGTCATAGAAATTATTAAGAATAGCAGCCTTGCATATTTTTCCTCTTAGAGAAGATGTTCCAAGACCTCAGAGATTCCAACAGCTCAAAGTTCCAGGTCTCTGAGTTCATTCTGTTGGGATTCCCAGGCATTCACAGCTGGCAGCACTGGCTCTCCCTGCCCCTGGCTCTGCTCTACCTCTTAGCTCTCAGCGCCAACATCCTCATCCTGATCATCATCTATAGGGAGGCAACACTGCACCAGCCTATGTACCATTTCCTGGGCATCCTGGCCATGGTAGATATGGGCCTGGCTACCAACATCATGCCCAAGATTTTGGCTATCTTGTGGTTCACTGCTAAGTCTATCAGTCTCCCTGAGTGCTTTCTGCAAATGTATGTCATATATACATTTATGTTTATGGAATCAGGCATCTTTGTCTGCATGGCTATAGATAGATATGTAGCCATCTGTCAACCACTACGCTATCCATCAATAATCCACGAATCTTTTGTGGTCACAGCCACTGTGTTCAGGACACTCAGAAACAGTCTGTCTTCTATCCTTGTGCTTGTGTTGGCTGCTCAGAGACACTACTGCTCAAAAAACCAAATCAAGCCCTGTCTGTGTTCTACTCTTGGAGTCACTAGCCTATCCTGTGATGACAAGAGAATCAACAGTGTCTATCAGTTACTTCTGGCCTGGACTCTCATGGGAAGTGACTTGAGTTTGATTATTATATCCTATGTTCTAATTCTTCACTCTCTGCTGAAGCTGAGCTCAGCAGAAGCTGCATCCAAGGCCTTAAGTACTTGTACTTCCTACCTTATCCTAATCCTTCTTTTCTATACAATTCTTATTGTCTTTTCTGTCACCCATGGTGCAACAAAGACACTTCCCCTCATCCCAGTTCTACTCAACGTACTTGAAAATGTCATACCTCCTGCCCTCAACCCCATGGTCTATGCACTCAAGAACAAGGACCTGAGACATGGCTTATAGAAGTTCCTTAAGCTGAACTGCCAAGGCAGCTAACTTGGAGAGGATGCTCACCTTTGTAATATCCCCATGTATATATCCATTATATCCTCCTAGGATTGTAGATGGAAGAAGAACTAAGAAACACTGACATTTTTTGGTTGATTTAAGTAGTCTATTGCAACTAATGATACTTCCAAAAAAGCAGTAAAACTAATAGTTGGAACCATGTTTTTCAAGAAATTTCTTTGTTATCCAAAATGATGATGATTCAAAAATCCAAAGGAAAGAGAAGCAGAATAAATATTTTATTTTCTTACCTAGTTGCCTCGGCTAAAACTTCCAGACAATGTGGTTACATCAGATATCTGCCAATCTATTCTTTTTAATTAGAGCCTTTAAACCATGTACATTTGGTATAATTACTGATAGGGTAGCACTTCCTCCTACCATTTGTCTATTGGATTTATGATGTGTCATTCTTTTTTTTAAAAGATCAAGGACTTGAATGGACATTTCTCTCAAGAAGATGTACAATTGCTAACAAGCATGTGAAAAGTGCTCAATATATGCACTCAAGAACAAGGAGGTCAGTCAGGGCTTATATAAGTTTCTTAAGCTAGACAACAAGAGCAATTAATATGGAGAAGGTGCTCATTTTTCCAAATATATATCCATCGTATTCTCTGAGATTTTGAAATGGCAAAAGAGATAAGGACACTGACGCTGGCAGTTTTTCAGTTAGCATAAGGAATTTGTGGTGAAAAATGAAACTTCAAAAAAAAGTAGTGAAGCTAATATTTGTAATCTTAGTTGTCAATAAAGACCTTCATTTAAAGCAGAATAACACATTGATTCTCATTACCTCAAGAAATTCAAATTCAAATTCAAATCAAAACCGCAAAAGAGACCACTATTTCCCCTAAAAGTGTTTTTTAGTTTAGTTTTTTTTTGTTTGTAAAATTAAATTAGCAAGTGTTGGTGATTTTAATATACCAAGGTCCTAGTACATTGCTTTAGAAATATAAAATCAACAGGAGCTGTGGAAAACAGTTCTGGCAATTAGAAAGACACATTTGCTGTGTAACTCAAGAATTCAACACTTAAGTGTCTATCCAAAATATTGGAAAGCTTGTATGAAAAAAGAACTTGTACATTCATATTCATAGCAGCCCTACTAGAAAAAAGCTAGAAAGAAACCTTCATCTATTGAATGTTAAAACAAAACTATATATATATGTATACAAGGAGTTATTAATCACTCATATAAAATGACGCACTAGTATATACTGTTATGTTAATGCTATAAAGGATGTGGAAAAAGAGAACCCCCCTGCGTTGTTGGTGGGAATATAAACTGGTACAGTCACCATGAGAAACAGTATGGATGCTCCTCAGAAAACTAAAAATAAAATTGCCATATTATCCAGCAATCCAATGTCTGGTCATATAGCCACACAAAACTCTCATCCAAGAAGATACAGGCACCAATATGTTCTTAGCAGCACTATTCACAATAGCCAAGACTATTTTACATACTTCTGGGAAATATCTGAAATAGAACCAATCTAAATGTCCATCAACAGATATACGGATAAAGAAAATGTGGTACATATATATAATGGAGTACCATTCAGCCATAAAAAGAACAAAACAATATCACTTACAGCAACAAAGGCGGACCCAGAGATTTTCATACTGAATGAAGTAAGTCAGACAGAGAAAGACAAATCATACAAATATCACTTACATGTGGAATCTAAAAAAGTGGTTAAAATGAACTTATTTACAAAAGAGAAATAGATTCATAGATATAGAATACAAGTTTATGGTTTATTGGAGAGAGCAAATGGGGGGAAAGATGGAGTGGAGGTTGTGTTTAGCTGGGTTTAGCAAATGTAAACTATTATATATGGAATGAATAAGCAGCAAGGGCTTACTGTATAGCACAGACAATTATATGCAGTATCCTGTGATAAATACTAATGGGAATGAATATTTTGAAATGTATGTATATGTATAACTGAATTCCTTTTCTGTATAGCAGAAATCAATAAAATTTATAAATCAAATATACCTCAATAAAAATAAATTAAAATTGTATGCTGTTATGGAGATGAAACTTGAAAGCATTATCTTAAGTGAAAAAACCTAACATAAATGGTTAAGTATTCTATGATTTCTTTTATATGTATGAGATATTCAGAATAGGTAAGCTCATTGAATCAGAAGGCAAATTAGTTACTGACAAGAGCTAGAAAACTGGGGGAATGAGTGACTGATTAACTTTTGTGGAGTTTCCTTTTGAGGTAACAGAATGTTTTGGAACTATACAGTACTGATATTTGCACAGCCCTCAATTTACTTTTCAAAGAGTAAAATAGTTAATTTAATGGTATGTGAATTTCACCTCAATAAAAAATGATTAAGTTAAAAAACACTGTGTTAAAAGTTTTCTTCTACATATAAACTTGTATCATTTTTCTGCAAAATAATGTATAAATCTAAGAGTGGAAATCACTAACTAAATTGTGTAAGTATGTATGATGTACTTTCATTTAGTCATAATTTTGCTGAAATAGCCCTGCTGTGAATGTCCATTTAACCTTGAAGAATTTTTGTTTTAATATGACATTGTCAAAACTTCTTTTCAAAAACACATATAACAAATGTTCATTAAAAATTTTGGCATATATACCTTATCATGTGTGAAATAGATAACTAGCTGGAAACTGCTATATAACACAAGGAGCCCAGCCTGCCGGCCCTCTGTGACAACCAACAGGGGTGAAATGGATAGAGGGGAGGGAAGCTTGAGAGGAAGTGTGTGTGTATATATATGTATATATATATATGATAATGAATATATATAAAGAATATTAAAATATATAATATATAAAAGAATAATGAATATATAAATAATATAATATAAATTATATTAATATATTAAAATATCATGTTATATATGCTATATATATAATAACTAATTCACATTGGTGTATGCCAGAGACAATCACAACATTGTAAAGAAATTATCCTTAAATAAAAAAAGAAAAAACATGTATCTGGTAAATGTAATTTCTGAAATTTAAGTGTTGAAATTATCTCTTTCCAAACTTGTTTTATTTTTCCAATTAATAAAAATATGCAGGCATTGATTTTATCATCCAACTAAAGAGTATAAATCTAGAAGCAGTTGCTATGTTTTATTATTAGTTATTGCATTATATCATCATCATTATTAATCTCAAATTTGGGGCATCTAAATATTCTATATAATTCTGTAAATGTCAAAATTAGTAATTTTCATTAAACACTACAGTGTTCATTCTATAGCCCCTATATATACTTCTTCACACAAAGAAAACAGATGCATATAGATGCATGTATATGACATTATTCTCTTGTTTATGTCTTATCTTATAGATGATAAGAATGTAAACTTTCCATTTTCCTCCTCAGATAGGAGTTAGTTTAATTCCCATGAATAGCCTGTGCATCTTTAATGTTGTGCATATGCTCTTGGGATAAACTGCACGCATTTTTCTTTAAATTCCACATTCAATAGTATGAATAACAAAGGATTAAGGAATTGAGGATTGTGCATGTACATATATTGCAGAATCGTGGTATCTTTTGACTAATATCCTAAACACCTGAACCAGATTGCATTCAGCTCTCTGCTGAACCAGAAACCAAGGTACTAAAGACGTACAAAAGAAGGAGTAGAAGCAGAATTTTTTATTTATTCTTTAAGCAATAAAAAAAGGTAGAGAGGGTTTTTGGATGCATATTAATTGATTATTATGTTTGCACAACTTCAGTTTTGATTCCATCTACACATTTTGGAGAAGAGATAATAAATATTAGAAACAGATCATAAAAAGTATGCTTTAAGTTTTCAAATTAGAATACTGATACATGATTAAATAAAGTGTATCTTAGATATAGTATAAATAAATTTAGCAGGCCTTTGCCAAAACATTAATATCACACTCATTGTTTTTTGATTTGATTGATTTTCATTTGACATGCAATTAACCCATTCTAACAAGGATTATTCAGCATTACTACAGCTGAAAAAGTTCATAATATATATTTAACAATTTGTTCACAGTTTTCCTCTTCTTATACGTGAAGGTTCTGGGAGTACTAAATCCTCAGTGATGTTATTTAGAGAGATGAAAAAATAAACAAATAAAAAGAAAATAGATGGATGTGTGAATAATTGAAACATTCTGTAACTCAAGTGCTTTCAATTTGTCTCACATAATGTCTTCCACAGAAAGAA